CACAAATGTATTTTGAGCCAAAAACAGTCAAACAATGTGGTTTCATCAGCCTTGTGGTTACAGTCACATTTCCATTTGCTTTAAACGTACTGTACGCCCCTCATATCACATACGGCACACGCAATTCTCTGTCATCACTAACAAGTAGGGATGCACCGATACCCGTTGTTCTGTATCGGGTACGAGTACCGATATTTTTTTTCCGGTACTAAGAATGTCCTTTATCACTCTATCCTGGAAAAGGGATCCTGGAAGGACCCTGATGTGCAGGGGGGACAGAGGACTCGGATGTGAAGGAGGGATAGAGGACTCTGATGTGCAAGGGGGGGGGGGCAGAGGACTCTGATGTGAAGGAGGGACTAAGGACTCTGATATGAAGGGTGGACTGAGGACTCTGATGTGAAGGGGGAACTGAGGACTCTGATATGAAGGAGGGATAGAGGTCTCTGATGTGAAGGGGGGGCAGAGGACTCTGATGTGAAGGAGGGACTAAGGACTCTGATATGAAGGGTGGACTGGGGACTCTGATGTGAAGGGGGAACTGAGGACTCTGATATGAAGGGTGGACAGAGGATTCTGATGTGAAGGAGGGACCAAGGACTTTGATGTGAAGGAGGAACTGAGGCCTCTGATGTTAAAGAGAGACTAAGGACTCTGATGTGAAGGGGGGACTGAGGACTCAGATGTGAAGGGGGGACTGAGGACTCAGATGTGAAGGGGGGACTGAGGACTCTGATGTGAAGGGGGGACTGAGGACTCTAATGTGAAGGGGGACTGAGGACTCTATGTGAGGGGGGACTGAGGACTCTAATGTGAAGGGGGACTGAGGACTCTAATGTGAAGGGGGAACTGAGGACTCTGGTATGAAGGGTGGACAGAGGATTCTGATGTGAAGGAGGGACTGAGGACTCTGATGTGAAGGAGGGACTGAGGACTCTGATGTGAAGGAGGGACTGAGGACTCTGATGTGAAGGAGGGACTGAGGACTTTGATGTGAAGGGGGGGGACTGAGGACTCTGATGTGAAGGGGGCTGAGGACTCTGATGTGAAGGGGTAACTGAGGACTCTGATGTGAAGGAGGGACTGAGGACTCTGATGTGAAGGAGTAACTGAGGACTCTGATGTGAAGGAGAGATTGAGGACTCTGATGTGAAGGAGAGATTGAGGACTCTGAAGTGCAGGGGGGCAGAACTCTGATGTGAAGGAGGGACTGAGGACTCCGATGTGAAGGAGGGACTGAGGACTCTGATGTGAAGGTGGAAACCCCAATTTTGTTGTGTTTTTGCATAGGGTTCCTCCCTAAGTGCCCATTTACACTGGGCGTTCAATCGCGCGATTTCTGCTGCGATATCGCGAGAAGTCGCTGTCCAATGATTTTCATTGTACAGCTCCATGTCGCCTGTCGCGGGTTGCTTGTGCAGGACCATTTTTCCCTGCAGATGTCGCACGATTTTTCTATTTTTGCATGCAGCTCGACGGTGAAGGTCGCGTGATCGTCACCGGAACGTCGCCCAAACAGTCGTGCTATCCCGCTGCGCGTAAATCCGCTCGAGGTAAGTGTAGCTTAGTGTGAATGGGGCCTAAGAGGTGTTTTCTGTAACTGATTGAATAGATGAAATCCTTAGGGAAGCTTTTCGTAAACAGACATTTTGACTTCCTCAGTAGTGTGAAAATAAATTCCCATGGAGGAAAAGAGAGGAGTAAGGCCAGGTTTGCGTAAACCCCCCTCAAATCTGGATTGTTTTGAACAATACATTACAAGTACTCCCCTTACTTCAAGGACAGATCCTGCAGTTTGACATAAATTATTATGGGATCTTCCTTGAATGTTCTGCGCTTTTATAGGGTTAAAGCTGATCTCCAGAAAACAGCAGAAATATATATTTGGGGATGTTTTACCTGTATAAAAAAAAAAATTATTTCTGTCCATCCAGTCCTGTGATTTTTACAGTCCTGCCAGACAGCAGCTAGGCAACACAGCTTGGCGACCTCCCTGTCCCCAGCCTGTGAATGTACAGTGTTGGACCATCAACAGCAAAATAAGGAGTCATTATATTTCCGACTGTGTTCTCCCTTCTGTCACATTTCGGTTGCTGGCTCATGTGCACTGCAGCACACCTGATTGGCTCCCAGGGCTGCCCCTCCTCAATCTGAATTCTGTTGTATAAGGGATCAAAAAAAGCTGATCCCATTTAAAAATCGAGAAGTTACACTAACTGAATTTAAAAATCTATTTTTTTTAATGAACATAAACCTGCATTGATTCGTGCTAAAGTCATATTAACGTCATATGTTTAAACTGAGCACTTGTACTCCGCTCTCCATCCTGACTCAGCTGTCACAGGAGCCTGCGGGAGGAGAGCTCGGCCTGCTGTGACAACTGACAGCTCTCTCCACCCACACCACTCGGCATCTCTCCTTCCCGCTGGGTGCCATTCTGTGTCTAGGGTTGCCACCTGATGAGGATTCACCCGCACAGTTCAGGTTTTGACTGCTGTGTCTGGGTTTCATGGCAGCAGAAACCCGGACACAAGATGTCAGGCAGACAGGGGCAACCAAAATTAAGATAGGGGCTACTGGCCCTCCACTGAAAATAGTCCCAACTGTGATATTTATATATGAATGGGTGGCGCTATTTACATATAAATAAGCCAAGACTCATTCTCCCAAAAAAATGTCCGCGCGTCGTTAGAGTGTTCGGGTTTCGCTTGAAGAAAAAGTGGCAACCCTACCTGTGTCCCCCCAGATCCCCGCTGCCTCTGCCGACACAGGGTGGGGAGAGCTGCTGACATCGGAGGGGACACAGACCGGTGCCCAGCGGGGAAGACAGAAGCTGTCAGGATGCACTGAATTTTTCGGTCACATTTTCGGCCTTTATGGTACTTTCGCCATTTTGCCCAATGTACCATTTTTGGCTGAAATGTTTATGTGTATCCCTAAAGACCAGAGTTTAGTTTCAGTAAAACTGCATTAAAATAATAATAATAATAATAAGTAAGTAGATATAGACATATAGGCAGCAGAAATCTCAACTTTAGGGGCCTATTCACACTGATGCGATGCAACTGGTAGGTGTGTTGTGCTGTATGGTGCGTTAATCGCACCGGTGTGAATGGGCCCTTACTGCACAACTTGAGCTCAGTTACGGGTACAATGCTCTGGCTCCTGCAGATTGTTCCTCCAGTAGCTGTCTGTACCTAGATATGGATTTTCAGTTACAGGGACTGGAGGAATTATGAATGGACTACAAACGCAGTGACGTCACCGCACTTGTTTTCCATTGAGAACTACAAGCCCCTCTGCTGCGGTTGCTAATGGGACTTGTAGTATCCCCATTCACAGATCCTCCAAAATACGGAGTTGAAGATCGGAGGGCTAGGACACTGGCTTTTACAGGACCATTGGTTAAGGTGGGTGTATTTGGGTCTTACAGGACCATTGGTTAAGGTGGGGGTATTTGGGTCTTACAGGACCATTGGTTAAGGTGGGGGTATTTGGGTCTTACAGGACCATTGGTTAAGGTGGGGGTATTTGGGTCTTACAGGACCATTGGTTAAGGTGGGGGTATTTGGGTCTTACAGGACCATTGGTTAAGGTGGGGGTATTTGGGTCTTACAGGACCATTGGTTAAGGTGGGGGTATTTGGGTCTTACAGGACCATTGGTTAAGGTGGGGGTATTTGGGTCTTACAGGACCATTGGTTAAGGTGGGGGTATTTGGGTCTTACAGGACCATTGGTTAAGGTGGGGGTATTTGGGTCTTACAGGACCATTGGTTAAGGTGGGGGTATTTGGGTCTTACAGGACCATTGGTTAAGGTGGGGGTATTTGGGTCTTACAGGACCATTGGTTAAGGTGGGGGTATTTGGGTCTTACAGGACCATTGGTTAAGGTGGGGGTATTTGGGTCTTACAGGACCATTGGTTAAGGTGGGGGTATTTGGGTCTTACAGGACCATTGGTTAAGGTGGGGGTATTTGGGTCTTACAGGACCATTGGTTAAGGTGGGGGTATTTGGGTCTTACAGGACCATTGGTTAAGGTGGGGGTATTTGGGTCTTACAGGACCATTGGTTAAGGTGGGGGTATTTGGGTCTTACAGGACCATTGGTTAAGGTGGGGGTATTTGGGTCTTACAGGACCATTGGTTAAGGTGGGGGTATTTGGGTCTTACAGGACCATTGGTTAAGGTGGGGGTATTTGGGTCTTACAGGACCATTGGTTAAGGTGGGGGTATTTGGGTCTTACAGGACCATTGGTTAAGGTGGGGGTATTTGGGTCTTACAGGACCATTGGTTAAGGTGGGGGTATTTGGGTCTTACAGGACCATTGGTTAAGGTGGGGGTATTTGGGTCTTACAGGACCATTGGTTAAGGTGGGGGTATTTGGGTCTTACAGGACCATTGGTTAAGGTGGGGGTATTTGGGTCTTACAGGACCATTGGTTAAGGTGGGGGTATTTGGGTCTTACAGGACCATTGGTTAAGGTGGGGGTATTTGGGTCTTACAGGACCATTGGTTAAGGTGGGGGTATTTGGGTCTTACAGGACCATTGGTTAAGGTGGGGGTATTTGGGTCTTACAGGACCATTGGTTAAGGTGGGGGTATTTGGGTCTTACAGGACCATTGGTTAAGGTGGGGGTATTTGGGTCTTACAGGACCATTGGTTAAGGTGGGGGTATTTGGGTCTTACAGGACCATTGGTTAAGGTGGGGGTATTTGGGTCTTACAGGACCATTGGTTAAGGTGGGGGTATTTGGGTCTTACAGGACCATTGGTTAAGGTGGGGGTATTTGGGTCTTACAGGACCATTGGTTAAGGTGGGGGTATTTGGGTCTTACAGGACCATTGGTTAAGGTGGGGGTATTTGGGTCTTACAGGACCATTGGTTAAGGTGGGTGTATTTGGGTCTTAGAAATGTTTTTCCTAAATAAAATCTATAGATGACCTGGGAGCGGGTGGAGTGGTAAACAATGGTGTTTTTACATGGCTGGAGTTCTGTGCCTTCAAGTGCATCATGAGGTTAACATAGTGACTATCTCTCTGCAGATGCATGCTGTGTAGGAGGGAGATACTCAGAAAAGGACATATCCTGCTATTGTTTCACATCTTCCTGGCCGGCTAAGTGTTTGTATTCCCAAGTATTCAGAGATGGCTACCGTTCCTTTCCTCTGCTCTGAATATTTGTATTGCCCGGTCTGCTTGGACCTTTTCCGAGAACCTGTCACCATCCCTTGTGGGCACACCTTCTGCTTGACATGTATTACCCAGTGCTGGTCTCTGCAGGGCATGCCAGCCTCTTGCCCCCAGTGTCGTTCCTGCTTCCAGCAAGAATCCTCACCAAGACTCTGCAAGAACAGTATACTTTCCCAGATGGTGGATGACTTCTCCAAGGTGCAAGGAGCCAGTGAGAGGATGGCGGCTGTGAATATCCCAGCCAGGAGTGTGGGAACGCCGTTGAAAACTCATTATCACCAAGATGAGCCAGAAGGAAACATTGGAAGAGATGCAAGCATCAAGTTTTCTATATCCAGTAGCAGTTTGGCCCAGGAAAGCAGCAGTACCAAGGTAAGGACATATTGGGTGACCATCAGCTAGAAACGGGAAAACTTGGGCCAGGCCGCACTTAGTACATATCATTCAGGTATGTTTGTATCTAGGACAGACACCACTTCACTAACTTATTCACAAAAACAAAATTATTGTATATTTTTAAATTATTATTAGGCTCCATCGTCTATGCTTACCTGTTACCTTTCCCGACTGTCTCTGGCTCCCGTATTATCTGTTCATTGATCAAGTACAAGCAAGCCACACATGATTAGTTGTTTTAAGTTAGTGAATCAGAAAATACAAGCAGTACATTTTAGATTGCAAGCTCTCAGGGGCAGCCCCCCCCTTACCATCTTGTCTTGAATTGTATTGTAATTGAAATGTCTTCCAAAGTGCTGCGCAAACTGTTGGCGCTATATAAATCTTGTATAATAATAATAATACTTGTTTTAGGTTAGTCACTTAAAAAATATTGAAGGCAGAGGATTGGTGTGAAAGGCTGGAAGCCTAAATATCAGGGGTGGGTAACTCTAGCCCCCCAGCTGTTGTGGAACTACAAATTTCATGAGGCACTGCAAGATCCTCACAGCCACAGGCATGACTCCCAGAGACAGATGCATCATGTAGTTTTACCACAGCTGGAGTTTGCCCACTCCTGCTACATATTGATCTTAGCACAGTTGTTGGTTGATAATGTTGACCCCTATTTAACCCTGTTATCTATTTGTTTTAAAAAAAATGTAAGTAGAACTAAAGCCAAAACTTTTTTTTGGCTTCGGATAGAGTAAGGCTGGTTGTACACCTAAAAAAAAAATTTGTTCAACCCCTGGGCTGAACGAAAAAAATTAAAGCGATTCCTCCATTAACACAAACAGCGTGTGTCGATCGAGGAATCGCCGCTGTTTGCATTGTATTATAACCGGTTAAAGCAGGCAGCGCATTGAGCTGGCACCTGTCAGAATACCCGATCAGAGCGGGCAGCTCATTGAGGTGGCACCTGTCAGAATACCCGATCAGAGCGGGCAGCTCATGGAGCCGGCACCTGTCAGAATACCCAATTCCGAGCGGGCAGCTCATTCAGCCGGCACCTGTCAGAATACGATCAGAACAGGCAGCTCATTGATCCGACACCTGTCAGAATACCCGATCAGAGCGGGCACCTCATTGAGCCGGCACCTGTCAGAATACCCAATTCCGAGCGGGCAGCTCATTGAGCCAGCACCTGTCAGAATACCCAATCAGAGCAGGCAGCTCATTGAGCCGGCACCTGTCAGAATACCCAGTCAGAGCGGGCAGCTCATGGAGCCCACACCTGTCAGAATACCCGATCAGAGCAGGCAGCTCTTTGAACCGGCACCTGTCCGAATACCTGATCAGAGTGGGCAGTTCATGGAGCCGGCACCTGTCAGAATACCCCATCAGAGCAGGCAGCTCTTTGAGCCGGCACCTGTCAGAATACCCGATCACAGCAAGCAGCTCATTGAGTCGGCACCTGTCAGAATACCCGATCAGAGCAGGCAGCTCTTTGAACCGGCACCTGTCAGAATACCTGATCAGAGCGGGCAGCTCATTGAGCCGGCACCTGTCAGAATACATTACCCAATCGGAGCGGGCAGCTCATGGAGCCGGCACCTGTCAGAATACCCGATCAGAGCGGGCACCTCATTGAGCCGACACCTGTCAGAATACCTAATCAGATCGGGCAGCTCATTGAGCCGGCATCTGTCAGAATACCCGATCAGAGCGGGCAGCTCATTGAGCCGGCACCTGTCAGAATACATTACCCAATCAGAGCGGAATTGAGGTGGCACCTGTCAGAATACCCGATCAGAGCGGGCAGCTCATGGAGCCGGCACCTGTCAGAATACCCAATTCCGAGCGGGCAGCTCATTCAGCCGGCACCTGTCAGAATACGATCAGAACAGGCAGCTCATTGATCCGACACCTGTCAGAATACCCGATCAGAGCGGGCACCTCATTGAGCCGACACCTGTCAGAATACCCAATTCCGAGCGGGCAGCTCATTGAGCCAGCACCTGTCAGAATACCCAATCAGAGCAGGCAGCTCATTGAGCCGGCACCTGTCAGAATACCCAGTCAGAGCGGGCAGCTCATGGAGCCCACACCTGTCAGAATACCCGATCAGAGCAGGCAGCTCTTTGAACCGGCACCTGTCCGAATACCTGATCAGAGTGGGCAGTTCATGGAGCCGGCACCTGTCAGAATACCCCATCAGAGCAGGCAGCTCTTTGAGCCGGCACCTGTCAGAATACCCGATCACAGCAAGCAGCTCATTGAGTCGGCACCTGTCAGAATACCCGATCAGAGCAGGCAGCTCTTTGAACCGGCACCTGTCCGAATACCTGATCAGAGTGGGCAGTTCATGGAGCCGGCACCTGTCAGAATACCCCATCAGAGCAGGCAGCTCTTTGAGCCGGCACCTGTCAGAATACCCGATCACAGCAAGCAGCTCATTGAGTCGGCACCTGTCAGAATACCCGATCAGAGCAGGCAGCTCTTTGAACCGGCACCTGTCCGAATACCTGATCAGAGTGGGCAGTTCATGGAGCCGGCACCTGTCAGAATACCCCATCAGAGCAGGCAGCTCTTTGAGCCGGCACCTGTCAGAATACCCGATCAGAGCGGGCACCTCATTGAGCCGGCACCTGTCAGAATACCTAATCAGATCGGGCAGCGCTTTGAGCCGGCATCTGTCAGAATTAGGGCTGCAGCTAACGATTATTTTCATAATCGATTAGTTGGCCGATTATTAAGTTCGATTAATCGGTTAATCGGATTTAAAAAAAAAAGGCTCCAGTGACGGACTACTAGTTTCTATTGCGATTGTAGTCCATCACAGGAGCAAGCTTGGCACGGTGGAAGTAAAAAAAAAAGTGTGGTGTGCAATATAGTACATTATACAGCGGCGCAATGCAGAATACCAGCAGCTATAGAGGAATGCAGCAATAGTACATTATAGTATAATGTACTATTGCTGGGATTTGTAGTCCTCTGTAGCTGGCGTTATTCTGCATTGCACTGTATATAATGTATTATTGCTGGGATCTGATGTATTCCTCTATAGCTGGCGTTATTCTGCATTGCGCTGTATATCATTTATTATCGCTGGGATTTGTAGTCCTCTACAAGAATAACCGATCAGAGCGGGCAGCTCATTGAGCCGGCACCTGTCAGAATACATTACCCAATCAGAGCGGGCAGCTCATGGAGCCGGCACCTGTCAGAATACCCGATCAGAGCGGGCACCTCATTGAGCCAGCACCTGTCAGAATACCTAATCAGATCGGGCAGCTCATGGAGCCGGCATCTGTCAGAATACCCGATCACAGCAGGCAGCTCATTGAGTCGGCACCTGTCAGAATACCTAATCAGAGCAGGCAGCTCATTGAGTCGGCACCTGTCAGAATACCCGATCAGAGCAGGCAGCTCATTGGCTGCCTGCGCAGATCTTTCGAAGATTTTCCAGCGGCTCCTTTGATCAGCTGATCGAGGAACGCCGGCTGAAAGGGAGCCGACAGCCCCACACACTGTGCGAATTTCGTCTGGTACATTAGAAACCGGCTGAAATTTGCACAGTGTATGGCCAGCCTTAGGGAGGGTTATAACACCTGTCAGCTTTCTTTGCCGCCTGTGTCACATTAGGGAGATTTCCCTTTAATTCCTGTCCGATAGCCACAACAAGTGAAAGTGAAGGAAATCCCTGGTGGTCAGCAGGGTCCCCATAACTAGTGTCCCCAATGGAAGATTTCTGTATTCCTCTTTTGATGACAACCCAACATTTTCAGTGTTAACAGTATGCAAGACAGATAGAGAGGGTGAATCTCCTTAAAGGAGACACAGACAGCAAAAAAAACTGACAGGGATTCTAATCCCTCTCCACTCTATCCAAAACTAAAAGAAAGGTCTTGGCTTCAGTTGCCCCTCAAATGTATTTTTAAATAGAACCTCAATCTGTCTTTGTATTAGCCTCCTATATTCTCTGGGCATCTGTATTCAGACTGTAAAAGGAAGCAGCAGCACTGTTAACCAATCAGGCTGTGCTACATCGCACAGAGCTGTGAACCTACCAAAAGAAACTTGCTGATTGGAGGAGAGAGCACAGAAATGATCTCACCAATGGACTGCCGATCCCCTGTGATCCAGTCATAGCCATGGCCAAGTTATTGCTTTGATTGTAGTTGATAAAAGTATATGTTGAGGACCCGGGTATAGTTTGTGGTATGGGTTAAACAGCGGGCTGTAGAGTAATATAAAGTCTTAGTAGGTAAGACTGGACACAGACATGCATTTCAACTGTGGATTTAGCTGGTTGCCTTCACTTCCACTTGAGTACTTGTCCTCGGTTCCTGATTTCCAGGTACAGCATCAAATGTTATGTTCCTTTAAATACATGTTCCTTGTCTATTATTGATAAACAGTTCACTTCCAAGTCACAGTTTTTTGTCAGGCACAATGTTATAATAAAATAGATATATTTAAATCTAGGAAAAATGTCCCAAGTGGGTTTATGGTACCAGTGATCAATGATTATTTCACATAGACTTTAGCAGCACAGCAGCAGCAATGTGTTCCCGGAAAGGAGGATATTGTTTTTGTCTGTTTGCCTTCTAAGCTCTGTTCCTGTCTCTACAAACAGACATAACTGTACAAGTAAATAAGGGATCGTGTTATCCATTATTATTGTTGGCTGTAATGCTTATTATTGTTTCATTAAAGTATCACTAAAGTCATAAAACAAAAAAATCATGTCATTTTAACATCTCTCCCCCTGTATCCATTTAGTCCCCATAAATACTTTTGAATAGATGCTGAGAACTACATTCACACACACGTCTTGTATACCTGTGTCCACATTTCATTCTCCCTCCCTACCACCTCATATTGTGATCACACATGCAGAAGCACTATGCTCAGAAATTAGTAAACTGTTTGTTTTTTTCACAACTCCCTCATAGTACCACACCTCCTCCTTAATGCCCCGCCCACATCCCTCCTGTGCCAGCTTCTCTAACAGTCTGGAGCCCAACTGCATGTGACATGGCATCGTGGGAGATCCCAGACCCAGATTGAAATGACCTGGAAGCACGAAAAAACAGCAGAAGCTGGTACTCAGAAGGGAATGCAAAATTTCTAAAAGTAAAATACTATTTTGGAGCATGATAACAAAACCTTTATATTTATTCCACAATGCTTGTTCTGAATACCTCATGTGATGCTGGTGCCTTCAGATCTCCTTTATCTGTTTTGTGACGAGAGGTCATTAATGCCCCCATGTCTAGATTAAATTTAAGGGTGTCATTATCCATTGGTTAACATGAAAATGCAGTGAAAGGAATTTATCAAACGTGGAGCAGACAAAATCTGGAGCAGCTGTGCATGGCAACCAATCAGCTTCTATCTCTCATTTTCAAATCTTAGCTGAACAGACTGAAGAGAAAAGCTGATTGGTTGCTATAGGCAACTGCTCCAGATTCTTCTGCTCCAGTTTTGATAAATTTCCCCCAGTATGTCCATGGCTAATTTGAATCATCGAATGTTTTTATAAAATCAGTAATGCTCCCATCAAGTGGACTTTCAGCCAGTTTACAAGCCTGCATTCATTTTTTAAAGTCGGTTTTCATGCCAGCAATGCCTCAGTTGCACTGGCAAGCCTGCACATGGCACAAGCAGTTTTTATCTGCTCCAAGCTAAAGGCGTATGAGTGGGGTCTACAGCGCACTGGCTGTCACTCCCTGCGAGCCAGCCTAGCACAGCCCCCCCTAACTTGACAGCTTGTTGTCACTGGCAGCCAGTTACAGGAAGTGATGTGCGGGGTCTTGTTGCAAACCCAGTTCACCCAAGCCCGCTCAAAACAGTGACCCACACCCCTCCTGGCCCAATCAGTGGTGGCCGCTGCGGCAGGGGCATTCCCCACCCCTTTGTGATGTGTAACTGCAGGGCAGGAAATGCGCCTGACGCAACTGATTGGGCCAGGAGGGGCTGTGTTGGTCACAGTTTTACACGGGCATGGGCGAACTCACCAAGTTTAAATCAAGCCCCACCTTATCACTAGTTATAGGGAATAAACACTGTGACGGTCACATGCAGGCTGGGCACTGCAACAGAGTTCCTGTGTAAATTCTGGTTCCGGTTTAAATGCTGAGCGCGAGTCCATGGTCTACTGCTTGCCATACACTAAAGGTGCCCATACACCTTACAATTATCTGCAGATTTTCTGTGGTCAAATGGAAAAAGTGCAACAGATTGGCTCAGGTAGAGATTACTCCATCCACACAGTTAAGGCTTGGTTCACACCTGGGCGTTTTGTAGCGCGTTCGAACGCTCTGCAAAACGCTCAAACACCGAAATCCCATTATTTCCTATGGGTATGGGTCACACCTAAGCGTATTACAGGCCGTATGAACGTGCTACAAAACGCCCTACGCCCTACGCCCAAAGAAGTACAGGAGCTTCTTTGGGGCCAAATGGTCGCGCACGTCCACTGGGATACAGCCAAGTCGCCCTCGGAAACGCGCGTTTGACGCGCGCTTTTTTAACCGCAAATCGCGGTAAAAACGTGCGTCACGAAACGCGCGACAAATGCGCATATTCGATACGCCTAGGTGTGAACCCAGCAGTGTAGATGGAGGAATCTGTTGCACCTTTTCCATCTGACCACAGAAAATCTGCAGATAATTGTAAGGTGTATGGCCAGCTTGATAGGGGGAATTTATCAAAACCGGAGCATCTGTGCACGGCAATCAATCACCTTCTTTCTTTCATTTTCAAATCTTATCTGAACAAACTGATAAGAGAAGCTGATTGGTTGCTGTGGGCAAATGCTCCAAATTTTCTCTGCTCCAGTTTGTATAAATTCCTCTCTGTATGTGTTTTTACCCCCCCATGGGCTGAATATCCCATTCTCGGATTGGATGCAGCCGAGAATTTTTGTACGGACTCCTTCACCAAAAGTTGATTAAAAAAATTGCCGGCCGGGCCACCTACAGCTTCAGTTTCATCCAATTCACAGATTGGCTAAAATTCAGGCAGTGTATGGCCAACTTAACTTTTTGTCTTACTTTGATTTTTTTCAATTGTAAGCATATCTCGTTTCCTTTAACCCTCCCTTACCTAGATTTACCCTTACCCACCCCATCCTCACCCCAGGTGTATACTTACCAGGCTAAACCTGTATACTTAATAGGAAGCCCACAGGAATCCTCAGCACCTCTGGCCACAATCTTCTTTGATCAGCTGTTACGCCTGGAGACAGAGAGGTTGCCCACTCTGTGTCAGTACACCAAAACCAATGACGAGGACTGGGATGAACTGTCACCCTACTCTGCTAACATTTACTTTTTTACTGTATGGACCCAGAATGAGTAAATTGTAATTATGCTGTAAATATTTCACCAACAAAAACAGCCAAAATGTGAACAACAACATTGAAGCACAGGTCTGGAATCTTCTATTATACGCACAGACCTTTTACTGACAATAATTAAAATGATGTCAGAGTGTTTGTGCGTCACCCCTTTTAGCCCTCTTGCCATAGACCATATTCTATGCTGGCTGTGCTAAAACCAATTCCTGTTGACTGTTATGCAGTTTCCTGCATTCAAAACACGTCAAGTAATCGCATTTGTCGTGAATGATCCCTAAGCACAGGAATCATATATTGGACTTTGCCTCTGGCAATGGTACATTGTAGCACAATCAGAAGTGGTGGCTGCATAAGGACCTTAGAATCCACAGTGACAAATTGCACAAAGGGCAACAGTGAGATGGTCTAGGTCAGTGGTGGCGAACCTTGGCACTCCAGCTGTTTTGGAACTACAAGTTCCATGAGGCATTGCAAGGCCCTGACAGCCACAGACATAACTCCCAGAGGCAGATGCATGTTGGGATTTGTAGTTTTGGCACAGCTGGAGTGCCAAGGTTTGCCACCACTGGTCTAGGTTATATGCTGCCTGTTCAGTCTTAGTTTATGTCTCGTTCAACCCCCCTCTGCCAATCCCTGCACTGGCTTCCAATATTTTGAAGGATAAAATTCAAAGTATTAACAACCAGGGGCATCCCGAGGCTGGGTGACACCCGGAGCGGTTACCGAGTGTCACCCTGCCGACGCGCCACTGCGCGTGCTCGTGACGTCACCACACACGCGCGGCACTCTTCTGATACCTGCCGGCGGCCATCTTGGTGATGGACCCCGGCAGAGAGAGGAGGGGACATTCACCCTCTCTCTCCTGATACTGTTGGGAGTTCGGTCCATGACCGAGCGCCCGACTTTTCAGAGGGGGGTGACACCAAAATGACGAGTCATTGTGTCACCCGGGTGCGGGCCGCACCCCCCTTGTGACGCCACTGTTTTTTTTAAATTGACAATTTTTATTTTGAAGGTTACATATAGAAAATACAAAACTTATGACATCATTTGAGGTATCCAGCGCGGTCGACATTTAGCTAAAGACAATTATACATACTCTGTTGTATTGTTCAAGTAAAGCGTAGAAGGTAGGATAATCCCATCTGCCAATCTACCCTATGGTATATCATACTTATACAGCAAATAACATTTCGTACTAGCTGTTCTTATCCAAACCGTGCTATCTGGCACATTCCTTTCAGTTATGATGTCTCAACAATTAACCAAACATCTTTATAAAATTGCTAAAACATAGCAGAGAAAAAAGAGAAGAAAAGAGAGTGAATGTAGGTAAATAAGTATCTTCCAGGTCAGCAATTTATATGGACTTCATAAGCAACCCATACCAGGGCCAGTCTCCAGGTTTGATCCGCGCATCTCCCTCTATCCGGGTCCATGTCCCCCCTTCGTCTACTCCTCTCAAACCCTTCAGCTCAAGCTCACCTCATAGGCATCCCACTGCCTCCATATCCCTTTATGGGCCTCAACTGCGTTATTTAATCGTGCTGTCAGGTATTCCATTACCTGTACGTCTTTGATTCTGGCGAATAGATCTAATCTAGACGGAGGGAGCTTTCTTTTCCATTGCAGTGAAATGAGACAGCGGGCAGCCGTGAGGATATGTGCTATCAATTTCCTATTAGCCTTTGAGAGGTCTGGAAAGGGCAATCCCAAGAGGTAGTGTATAGGATGGTCCGAGAGTGGTTGGCCCACTATCTGTACCAACATGCGCCTGACCTCCTTCCAATAGGGTTGAATGCTAGGGCATGTCCAGAAGATGTGGAACAGGGTGCCTCTAGAACCTTAACACCTCCAGCAATTTGGGGATAGCTTTGGGTTAAGTGTATGGAGAAAGTCCGGTGTATGGTACCAATGGTACATTATTTTATATTGGTTTTCTCTGTAAACCGAGCAGATTGAGGACTTTGCTGCCATACTCCATATGCGTTCCCATTGCTGGGGATGCATGCAAAAATGGCCAACTAAGCCTGTCAAAAGCTTTTTCGGCGTCCAAACTGATTAACAGCGCTTCCTGCTTTTCCCTATTGACGCCACTGTTAACCACTTACAAAGCCATCCACAACTCTGCCCCCGGATATATCTCTCGGACTTGTCTCAAAGTATCACCCTAACCGTCGTCTCCGCTCCTCCAAAGACCTCCTGCTTTCCAGCTTCCTCATCAACTCCTCCCATGCTCGCCTCCTGGACTTCTCTAGAGTCTCTCCCATCCTCTGGAACTCTTTACCCCAACCTGTCCGTCTATCTCCCACTCTGACTGCCTTTAGGCGATCCCTAAAAACTAATCTCTTCAGGGAAGCCGATCCCACCTCAACCTAACCACTGAACCATCACGTTCTCAAACACTTCATCCCCACACAGCTACCTCCTCATGTATTACTTCCTCCTCCCTTTTAGATTGTAAGCCCTCAGGGGCAGGGCCCTTCTTACCACCCTGTCTTGAATTGTATTGTGATTGTAATGTCTTCCTTATATTGTAAAGCGCTGCGCAAACTGTTGGTGCTATATAAATCCTGTATAATAATAATAATATTTTAGAGCGCGTTAGCCAAATGCAGTATATGTTGTGTAGTTTCTGACTGGACACCTATATACTGTATATATATATATACTTTAAGATAATTGTTATTAGAATTTGCAGTTCACGACTTTAATCAACAGTTACAAAACAAAACAAGCCAATAAGGCAACACAAAGGAGAGAAGAGAGAAATAAGCAGACGCAATGCAGTCACACCGATACACTATAGATATAGACAACATTGGATAGTAAAACATATAACAGAATACCATAATAATACACTTTCTACAAAAGAAGGGTCATGAAGCAATACAATAATAGGTGATGTCTAGTCAGAACACAGAAGGGGCCATTCGGAACAGCAGTATGGGTTTAAGGATAGAAGAAGAATTAATAATCAAATCAGGAGGAGACTTTTCCTATGGTATCCCGGGCCAGGTCACTATCTGCAGGGAGTTTGCATGTTCTCCCTGTGCTTGCGTGGGTTTCCTCCGGGTACTCCGGTTTCCTCCCACACTCCAAAGACACACTGGTAGGTTAATTAGCTCCTCTCTAAGTTGGCCCTCTAGGTGTGCACGTGAGATAAGGACCTTAGATTGTAAGCTCCTTGAGGGTAGGGACTGATGTGAATGTGCAACTATGTAAAGTGACTAACCACTGAACCATCACGTTCTCAAACAATTCATCCCCACACAGCTACCTCCTCATGTATTACTTCCTCCTCCCTTTTAGATTGTAAGCCCTCAGGGGCAGGGCCCTTCTTACCACCCTGTCTTGAATTGTATTGTGATTGTAATGTCTTCCTTATATTGTAAAGCGCTGCGCAAACTGTTGGTGCTATATAAATCCTGTATAATAATAATAATATTTTAGAGCGCGTTAGCCAAATGCAGTATATGTTGTGTAGTTTCTGACTGGACACCTATATACTGTATATATATATATACTTTAAGATAATTGTTATTAGAATTTGCAGTTCACGACTTTAATCAACAGTTACAAAAAAACACAAGCCAATAAGGCAACACAAAGGAGAGAAGAGAGAAATAAGCAGACGCAATGCAGTCACACCGATACACTATAGATATAGACAACATTGGATAGTAAAACATATAACAGAATACCATAATAATACACTTTCTACAAAAGAAGGGTCATGAAGCAATACAATAATAGGTGATGTCTAGTCAGAACACAGAAGGGGCCATTCGGAACAGCAGTATGGGTTTAAGGATAGAAGAAGAATTAATAATCAAATCAGGAGGAGACTTTTCCTATGGTATCCCGGGCCAGGTCACTATCTGCAGGGAGTTTGCATGTTCTCCCTGTGCTTGCGTGGGTTTCCTCCGGGTACTCCGGTTTCCTCCCACACTCCAAAGACACACTGGTAGGTTAATTAGCTCCTCTCTAAGTTGGCCCTCTAGGTGTGCACGTGAGATAAGGACCTTAGATTGTAAGCTCCTTGAGGGTAGGGACTGATGTGAATGTGCAACTATGTAAAGTGCTGCGTAAATTGTCGGCGCTCTATAAATACCTGAAATAAAATAAAATAAATATGAGGTGGATACCCACAGACCCCAAATTTTATCAAAGAGAGCAGAGTGACCTCTATTGTCATACGTTCATTTGACCAAAGGAAGCATGGAATTAAGTTGACATTTCCACATATCAAGGGAACGGGGGCCCGGCTGAGGTGATTTCCATGATAGGAGGACACCTATGTATTTACTTTCTACACACAGGGTTACACTAATACTTTTTGTTTATTAGAAAAACAACAAATGAATCCTTCCAGATTTGCAATCCTTATGTCATATTACATTAGATTTAGTGTTACAGAGGAAGACTGTGACCTCAATGGTCTATTCTTTCTCCTTTTCTTGTTTGTTTTAATGTAGTACCTTAAAAATAACTGTTAGGAAGTATTGCTACAAAGCGGCATGTTTTGACAAGGCTGTAAATAATGAACGCATGCCAATATAAACAGCAGTAGGACCTGAGGGATTAGGACATGTTGGTTTTGTTGTATGGAGGCCACATCATTTACAGGATATATTTAAAAATACAGTAAAGTTCCGTTAAGGTGGACCTTTAATGGAGAACTATGGGGTTAGGGCTTTTCCCCATAGTTCTCCTTAGGGTAACGGAAGGACACAAACTAGCGTCCTCCCGTCACCCTAAGCTCAGTATACCGCGAGCTACAGCTCGCGGTATACTGAGACGCCGCAGCCGGAGTGGATCCCGACATCGATGTCGAGTTCCGCCCTGCTGCGTGACTGACAGCTGGTTCTGCCTATCTAGAGGCAAAGCCAGCTGTACGCGCCCCCTCGCCCGTCAGCGCTGGCGGGGAGGGGGGAATCCAGCCCCTCCCCTGTCACGGCAGAGAGCCGTGACAGGATCGAGAGGTGAGCAAACGCCGGTATATGTTCGCTCACCTCCCGATCTACTGAGCCGACCTGTGACAGTCTCATTGTCACAGGTCGGCTAGAACTATGAGGTGAGTGAAAAGCACTCACCTCATAGTTCTCTTTTAAGTCTATATAACATGTCACAATATACAACAGCTGTAATTATAATTCTACAAAAAAACGTCATCTTTTATCATTTAAAACCAGTCCTGGAGCTCCAATCAGGTGACTTTCCCTAGGCTGAGAAGATGTCCTCTGTCTGTTGCAGGCAGGAGGAAGCATTTCCTTAGTCTCGCCAAGCGGTCACACTGCAAGCTTGTAACAAGTCTTTGGGATGTAAGGCTGCAGCAGGGGACACCTGACTGTTTTATCTCTTAGCCACCATCCTCAAGAAGATGGTGGCACTGGCAAACGTGTGGACAATGATGGTGAAGGCCTTCTGGAGAGAAGAGAAGATGTAGGCATTGTCAGAGAAATGACTGTGATCTCCGTGTGGTGTTACTCTTACACATTACTAGGCATGCATGCACTTAACTTGATATATCTTATGTAGGGTCTGCTTTCATCCTCAAGTCCAGGGATGGTGGAGTGACAGCCTCATATTTTTCAGAGGTCATTTATCTGTATGTATTCTATATGCATACTTTTAATATTCACATACTCATAACTGGCATTTTCTAACAGGTTTCGGGAGCCAAGAAGATAGTGAGTCAGGGGCTGGCTGACATTGTAAGGATCCTACAGGCCTCAGGTTTGCGGCTGATGAAGATGATGGATCAGGCTCAGTGCCAGATGCTGAAGAACACAGGAAGTCATGAGCTGGAAGGACTCTCCATATCAGTGTCACAACTAGCCCAAGTTGTTCCAGATCAGCTACAGGATCAATTACAGGTGATCACTATATATGATCTAGTATGTGCATTTCCAGTAACCTTCATTTTGCTATTGAGCATGCACCTTCGTGATGTTACTGACTATGCTGTATGTACCCTAGTTTATTTTAATCTTAGTGCCGATGCATCTTGTCACAATTGACCATTTTCTGCCTAAATATTGCAATGATTGGCTATTTGTTGCCCGTGTCATAAAGGCAATCTCAGTGAAAAGCGAATCCTTCCTCCTACCCCTCCCTCCTTCCCTCCTCTAGTAGATTGCTGGCAAAAATTCCCCAAAAACCCTGTGGAAGTGCCCATTTTACTTACTGCAGGTGATCCTCCAGTACTGAGCCTTCTCTCTCCCTTTGTTTACATATCGCAGGCTCCTTCTTTACGTGTCACAGTGCCTGTGTGATGTGAACATTATCAATAGGTCGTCCAGCAGCAGGGTCTTCTCAGGATCTACAAGAGGAGTGATGTCATTGCAAGGGCTGGTGTGGGACCATCTGCTGCACTGCAGATTAGAGGGATGGGGGTCATATTTTGCCCATTTGTTGTCCATGTATTACAATAGCTGGCTGTGTGTCATATATGATGGCCCATTTGCAGCTCATGTAGTCAGGACTGCCATTTGTTTGCCCAGATATTGTCAAGTCAACCTTGTTTAAGGGTTCATTCAGACAGGCGTGCCCATCCGTACAGCGTGCGCGCCTGTAAAATGACCTGATCCTGACAGGTGTTGCGTGTGCCTGCATTTGGACACACACTGTCTGCATCAGTGGGGGCACCCAGACTCTCACGGATGTGCAGGTTCGGGTGTGTGTGTGTGATTGCGTGTAATTGCATGCAGCCGCGTCCTCCCATAGGGAAGAACAGACTGCTGCACACAATTACATCCTTCCGGGATTGTTTTTTTTTTTAATGGATGTGCACACCCGTCTGAATGAGCCCTTACAGGTACACAAATCTACAGGTATAAATGGGCTCAGAAAAGGAGGATAAGTAGTTTTCCTGGGGTCTGTGACCTCATCAAACACAGACTCCATGATGAGGGATGCGCAGAAAGTGGCCCCTTGAGGCTGCCTAGAACTTGGCTAAACCCTGCATGGCAAAGCGCTCCAGGCAACTTCAACCTCCAGTATATTGTGGCCTTACAGTTTCAGGTTTCTCGAAGGCTGGTGCTTCTGGGAGTACATTACTTGCAGTGTCAGAAGTGACAACAGTACTACTCGCTCTACCATCAGAAAGTAAATACACATGTGGGGAGTCAGGCACTGAGCCCCAAGAATGGATCTGTGCAGATCCTGCTGCCTATATTGTTACATCATGGGCTTATGGGGTACCACAGCATCTACACAAGCAATGCAAATAATGGGTGTGTCTAGTAATTGAGGTGGCATCATGTTGCTGCACTAAAGGGCAATGAGCAGTGCCCTCATAACTGACGCATTTCAAGTCTCCATTTTTGCATTTCAGGAAGAGCAGCTCGGAGTTCAGGATACACAGTGGAATGGACTTTATGCAGCTGTTACTAAATTTAAAGAGTGTTTACAGGAGGTGTGTGCAGACCACATGGGGAGGCTGGTACAACAAGGTAAGTCATGTCGTTGCACACAGTCCTATGACTACGGACTCGGGGTAAACAGTACAAAAGAATGGTATTGTGCAAGGGGGCTTCATCAAGAATATAGTACAGTAGAGTGAATCAAACTAAAAATCAGTTAGAAAAAAAAACTAAAAACCCTGAAATGAAACTTACAAAGGATAATACAGGAAATCATGGTGAGCTGTTTGTATTTACTGTTATTGGTAGAGGGGCGCAAACACCACAACTGGAAAAGACACAAATCAATTCAGCTCTGTGATACTGTTTGTCAAAAAAGCATAGACATGCATGCAAACGCACTGGACCGCACCTGAAAGCCCATTTTAGGCCAGGTCCACACCATTTTCCAGGATGAGATCTGGACCAGATCTGGAACGCAGTGCATTGCTTTTTTGCCATGATTTTGCCGCGTTCCGGAGCATTTATTTTTTTCCACTTAAAATGGGCTTTCAGGTGCGATACAGTGCATTCGCATGCGTTTGTATGCATTTTTATGCGTCCTAGTGCATCCCAAACCAGAGAAAATGAGACCAGCATTATTTTTTCTGTCTTTACCAAAACGGTCTGTGTTGGTGTGAACAGAGCCCAGGAATACCATAGGGATACATTGGGATGCTTTTTTGGTCCGGGAACAGACTGTTATGGTCTGGACATGATCCGGACATGGTGTGAACAAGCCCTTAGACCTTAAAAAAAAATGTGTGCTGCAACCCACCAAGACATCAGATTTTAAATAAACATATCGTTCCATTATAAAAACACATGTAAAACATCAGTTTAAAAAACATTTTTAAAAAACTAAAAACCCTGAAATGAAACTTACAAAGGATAATACAGGAAATCATGGTGAGCTGTTTGTATTTACTGTTATTGGTAGAGGGGCGCAAACACCACAACTGGAAAAGACACAAATCAATTCAGCTCTGTGATCAATAATACATCTTTATAGGCAAGCAATGCAAGTACTTGAATTTGAACTGGTATCCGCCATTTGCAGTCTGTGTATAGCAGAGCTGGAGTGTGAGAAGAAGCAGCACAAGGAACCAGTCAGTACATATGTGCTGGTAGGAAGAGAAAGCAGAATGAGATAAACTCATCACTATGCTGCTTCTCCTTTCGCTGTCCAGTCACAGGCTGGGGGGCAGGTTTGGGATAACCTGGACTCAGAGGAAGAGGGTTGTATGATGGTGGCTATATGAGTGAGAAAAAGTACTGGGAGGGAAATCTCTGGATTGGAAGCTGAATTTTGCAGCAACATTTGGTTTTGTTTTTCAATCTTTTAATGGGCAGTTTCTTTTTATCTGGAGTACTGCTTCTAACATTCGTGTCGTAGCCACTAGTTTCCTTGCTTCAATATAACTTTTCCGTTGTCTTACAGTGTGGACTACACGGAGCAGCTACCCCATATCACCACCTAAACTGTGGGGAATCTCCTTGCAGCCTCTGACCCCACGGACACGAGCCGAGTTCCTTCAGTGTAAGATATTTCCTCTTTATATTTGACGTCTAAACATGACCTTTGCTCACCCATCTGCGTACATTTCACTGACTGTTATCCATTGTTGTGTTTAGATCTCCGAGAAGTCAGCTTGGACCCGGAAACTGCCCATCACAACTTATGTCTGACGCAAGGAAACCGCCGAGTTCTGTGCAAGCTGCAGCCTCAGGCTTACTTAGACCACCCCGGGCGCTTTAACCATTACACCCAAGTACTCGGCATGGAGCCGATGGGCCATGGGAGGCATTACTGGGAGGTCCACCTGTCTGGAAATCGAGTAAGCTTAGGTGTGGCCTATCATAACATCTATCGCAAAGGTCACCAAAGCTACTGCCTGGCTGGCAGGAATTCAAAGTCTTGGTGCCTGGAATGGAGCAGCAGCCGCTGTTACGCATGGCACGATGGTCAGAGAATTTTAGTAGCCACAGGACTGCAGGAGAAACTTGGCGTATTTCTGGACTGGGATGGGGGTAGTCTGTCCTTCCATGAGGTATCAGATGATATGCCTCTTCTTCACCAGTTCCATGCTTCCTTCATCCAACCATTATATCCCATATTTTATGTCAGCTGGAACTCTATCATGTCCATTGGGGAAGCGATGCCAACTCACCACAGTACCCACAACAGACATTTCCAAAGGCAGATGTCTGCAGAATTCTGACCTGATTGCAGGGCTAATGGATTCCTCTTCTCCAAAGTACATGTTAGAGGGTAACGTTCTACTATTCTTACACATATGATATTGACTGAGGCAGGGCAGCAAAATAACACACCCTGGGGGGAATTTATCACAACTAGAGCAGACAAAATCTGGAGCAGTCGCCCATAGCAACCAATAAGCTTCTCTCTGTAGTTTGTTCAGGTAAGAGTTGAACATGAGAGAGAAGCTGATTGGTTGCCATGCACAGCTGCTCCAGTTTTGATAAATCCCCCTCCTTGAGTTTAATATTTATTACCTTTCTTGTCCTTGTGCATGCTATCAAAGGGACTTTCTCATTTGCTCATGCAGAGCAAAGTATAGGGGTCACTTAGCCCCACCCCAGCAGCAAAAACTCTCATTTCCCAGTGCTGCACCAGTCAGCCACCACAACTGGGAAAAGAACTGTTGGAACTTACACAGGGATATGGACTCCTCCTATGTAACACTGCTGGGCTAAGCATAAGGCACCAGCACTGTCACATGACTGAGTCACATGCTTACCTATACCTGGAAATGTCGGGTATATTACTTTACTCCTGGAGCAGCAGTAGATTGAAGAAAAGGAGAGCGAGCCTGTGGAGGGGTGGAGTTAAAGCAGATCTCCGGGCACACATTTGATTAACTCTTGCAGTGGGGCACTCCCGCACTGAAAGGATTTAGGGCTTGTTTGTGTCTAGGGAGGAACAAAGTTACAGTATACTCACCTGATCCTCGGAGCCGACTGGCTCTTAGACTGGTCCCTTCTGCCTCACTCCTACTCTGCTGCAGTGGGCTAAGGTCTCTGAGTCATCACGTTCCATACACAGTGTATAGGATGTGACAAGGCTGAGGGACATACCATCGCTGCAGTGGTGGAGGAGACAGGCACCCAGCCAGCTGGCTCCCGAGGATTGGGTGAGTGTAACTTTGTTTCTAACCTAGACACAAATGAGCACTTAACCCTTGCAGTCCAGGGGTAGCCCCACTGCAAGGGTTAATAAATATTGTGCTGCTTTAAGTGACCCTTTTACTCTGAATAGGCAACGGGAGAGGTCACTTTAACCAGTCCATTCTGCCTTTCGGAAAATCTATACATTGTGTCATGTCAGCATTTCATGTAGACAGTCTGAGAGAGAAGAATCAAAGGCAGAATGTTCTAACACTCGCTCTTCCTCCAGGTCCAACCTGTTTACACAGCATTGTAACTTTGTATTTGTAATATGTGTATTTTATTCATGTGGGTGATTCTAGTACAGGCAGAATACACACTCCATGTGATGGACATACAATGTGGGTGATTCTAGTACAGGCAGAATACACACTCCATGTGATGGACATACAATGTGGGTGACATTTTGTATAAATTGCAGGCTGTAAGTATTTGGCCTTTCCCTTTCTTTACAGTACAAGGCATGTGTTCACCATTTACTAACAATGAGAACGTGTTCTGAAATATTCTCTGATTTTTTATAGAAGAAACAGACAGTATAGAAGTCAATGTTGTGCTACAAAGCAGGAAGGGAAACGTTAAAGGGGAACTCCAAGCAAGCATCTATATACACTGGTGACATAACGATACGGACTGTGTTATCTGACAAGGGATCGGTATTGTGATCTACACACAGCTGACATCTCACGCCTAAAGCATTTTCTGACTACTGACGCTGGGCCATTTTCACTCCTGATGACCATCAGGGGCGGGACATGTTTATTTTCTGATAGGCGGGACATGTTTATAGGCGGGACATGTTTCTTTTCTGACAGGTGGAGCATGTTTATTTTCTAATAGGTGGGGCATTTGTATTTTCTAATAGGCGGGGCATTTGTATTTTCAATTAGGCGTGGCATTTGTATGTTCTGATAGGCGTGGCATTTGTATGTTCTGATAGGCGTGGCATTTGTATTTTCAATCAGGCAGGGCATTTTTATTTTATAAGAGGCTGGGCATTATTTTCTACTACATTCGTACAAGACATTTTTCCTTCCACATACCAGTGTCACAGGGTATTTTTGTCCCATTAACCAATGATGTTGGGCATTTGTCCTCCCACTGACCACCACCAGCTTACCAGTGACTCCAGCCATTATTCCTTCCATTCCTTCCAATTGTCCAGGACATGTTTTCTCACACTGACCGCCAACACCAGAGAATTGTTTCCTACCCGCTGATTAGCAATTTAAGGGGCACCATGGTACATAATGCTAATCACTGCACTCTGTACATTGTGTTGTATGTTACATACTCCTGACCCCTGCATACTATACAGTATGACGTACATTACATTGTCCTGACTGAGGCATTCTGTAAGCTGTGCTGTATATTACATATTCCTGATGAAAGTTATATTGTCACAACAGTTGTGGGTTGCTAAGAAGCCGCAAAAGTGTTTTGATAAGGTTTTTCTCCAAGGTAGACTCAGACAGACAATCATTTGTAATGCAACTGTTGAAAAAAATTAGGTTCTGAGGTTTATGTACATCTGTAGAACTCAGGGCTGGACTGGCCATTGGGCATAGCAAGCACTTGCCCGGTGGGCCAGGCCGGGCAGAACTCAATCATCCTTATGTGTTCGGCCCTGCTGAGCCCAGCCCACTATGGCCAATGGCCTGCTCTGTGCTCACTGGAGTTCTCAGATTGGCCAGGCAGAGCCGACACAGAGCGGAGCCTCCTCAACCCCATTACCAGCGGACATTAGACCACCGCCCGGACCGAGCAGGGAGGACTGTGTGGGACACCATGCTGTGCTGAGGGGGGACACAGGGGCCAGACTGAGGGGGGGCACAGGGGCCAGACTGAGGGAATGCGTGGACCAGACTAAGGGGGGACACAGGGGCCAGAATGAGGAGACGCATGGACCAGAATGAGGGGACACAGGGACCAGAATGAGGGGACACAGGGACCGGACTAGGGGAGACACAGGGGCCAGAATGAGGAGACGCATGGACCAGAATGAGGGGACACAGGGACCAGAATGAGGGGACACAGGGACCGGACTAGGGGAGACACAGGGGCCAGATTGAGGAGACGCTTGGACCAGAATGAGGGGGAGACACAGGCCAAATTGAGGCAACAATTTGGCCAGACTGAGGGGACACATGGGCCAGAATGAGGGAACACATGGACCAGACTGAGGGGAGACATGGGCCAGAATGAGGGAACACGTGGACCAGACTGAAGGGAGACATGGGCCAGACTGAGGGGACACATGGACCAGACTGAGGGGAGACACGAACCAAATTGAGGGGACGTGTGGACCAGACTAAGAAGGGACACGGGACAGGCTGAGGGGACACATGGACCAGACTGAGGGGACACATGGGTCAGAATGAGGGAACACGTGGACCAGACTGAAGGGAGACATGGGCCAGACTGAGGGGACACATGGACCAGACTGAGGGGAGACACGAACCAAATTGAGGGGACGTGTGGACCAGACTAAGAAGGGACACGGGACAGGCTGAGGGGACACATGGACCAGACTGAGGGGACACATGGGTCAGAATGAGGGAACACGTGGACCAGACTGAAGGGAGACATGGGCCAGACTGAGGGGACACATGGACCAGACTGAGGGGAGACACGAACCAAATTGAGGGGACGTGTGGACCAGACTAAGAAGGGACATGGGCCAGAATGAGGGGACACATGGACCAGACTGAGGGGACACATGGACCAGACTTATGCTATGCAGAGTGTTTGCTAATGTTCTTCTGAAGTCCAGTACACGGAGTGTTCAGAGATGAGCCTCCTGCCCAGTAAATGACATCTTGTTCTGCACGGCCTCCCATGCTCCAAGGTCATCGTTCACTTTCTCTTGACTGACGAGCTCTCTGTCTGCGAAGTTTGACAAACATAACGGCTTCCTTTTCAGAGCGACGACATTCCAGGAGCTGGAGGATTCGATCCCCTAAAATAAGAGACACACTGCTAATTATCAGTGTCGGGAAAACAGGAAGAACAAGCCGTTCTGTCATTGTGATGATAGCCTGCGTCCTGCAGTGTTAGCTAATGGTATGAACGGAGACTTTTCGTTTTCTTTGGCTTGTTGTCATAACTGTGTCCAGTACTCACGTCCCCAGTCTGTTCATAACAAATATGTTTGTTTTGTCCAAGAAAGAGAATGTTTAGCCTAGTGAAAGGCACAGAAACAGATATGCAGTCAGACAGTCCTTGTGCTAGCAACCTCCATTTTCATAGTCTGACCTCTATTTTTCACCAGCTGTGCACGGGATCTAAATATGACAATGCGTTGTATTCGTTCTGACACACTCCTCCCCTTCTCTGCAATACAAGTCAGTGTGAGAACACCTGTGCTGGGGGTGTGGCCTTTACTCAGCTCTGCCAGCACAGGGCACTGCAGTGTGAGACCGAAAACAGCATTTTTACTGTAACAAAAAGTAATTTGAAGGTATTTCCTACCACAAAATCATTCACAAATAAGAACATGCCGGGGTACAGGACTATAAAAAGATGAGACGGTGTAAGACTTCAGTTCGGCGGCTTAAAACCTGTTTGTGCAATGATTATTTGTCAAACTTAGTCTAGTTAGTAATACACAGAAAAATAACCAAAGCAGGTTAAAGTTTGAGGTCAGAGACAGACATAATACTGCCAATTATGCAGCAGTTCAAGGGATCCATGTATGCTAAATATGGGACTGTTGGTTGCTGAGACTTCCTAGCACATGCTCTAGCTCCTCATTTACAGTTGCCCCATAGGCACTTTTAAAGCAGCTGATCAGCACAAGGCACTCTGTTATCCTTTAAAGAAGAACTCCGGGCAGAATTATTCCTAACCCTTGCAGTGGGGCTACTGAGTGGTGATCAATTTTATCTAGGTGCAAAAATAACAGTTATACTCACCTGAACCTTGCAGGCAGCTGACTGTTAGACGGGTCCCTGATGCCTCTCTCCCTCTCCGCTGCTGCACTCGAAGGTCCTGTGAGTCATCATGTATCATACAGTGTATAGGAAGTGAGGACACAGAGGGACATACCATCGCTGGAGCGGAGGAAGAGACAGGCAGCAGGGACCAGAATAGCAGCCAGCTATAACTAGACAAAAATGAACATTTAACCCTTGCAGTGCAAGGGCAGTCCAATGCCAGGGTTAAGAATAATGATGGCTGGAGTTCTTTCACTGTATCTTGGAAGAACTCTGAATTTTTATTTTTGGATCACATTTTTACTTCAGTCTGTGACCCTATTAGAGAAATTGACCTACATTTTCTATACCTGTGAGACCCATACAAAAAATGAGGGCAGTGTGTCACTGGGACAGGAAGGTACAGACAGCAATAAAAAAACATTTTTAGAAGTTCTAACCCCTTCTCACTCAGCTAAAAATATATTTTTGTTTCTGTCTGTGTCCAAGTTGGAGAGATTTCCCATCACTTCCTGTCTAGAGTTAGGGAAAATCTCCCCAGCAGCAGGGAGCTTGTTTACATGCCGATGCAGCTGCTGAAATAGCACTTACATCAGTGGCAGTGAAAGGGTTAAAGCCAAACTGCAGTCAAAACATCTCAGGTTTTAATTGCTGTCTGTGTCCTTACTGAAGCAATTTCCCCCCACTTCCTGTCAGGACAGGAAGTCATTCAAACTCTCAAATGTGGACACAGACATAAACACATTTTTAAAGAGTAGAGGGGTAAGAACTTCTGAACATTTTTTTTGCTGTCGGTGCCTTACTTCCCCGACCACTCCCCTCATTTATTGCCTTGGTGTCACAGGAAGTGATAGAAATCTCCCCAATGGGATCTCAGGCAGAAATTGTCTGTGAAGCATTTTGCTTTAAGACCGATGAATTTCACCACCACTGACTCTTCAAACAGAAGAACATATTTTACAGGGTTCCAGGATATCATTTATCGCACATGGATGTCATAAAAGGAAGTACAAACCATTGAGTTTTGGATGACTGAGGGGGAGCCGCTTCTGTGGGATGCTGGTCACGGGGTCACCAGTGTCATCTTTTAAACCTGGCACATCTGCAAGATCCAGGAAAGCTTCACCCTCCAGTTCGTTGGAAAGAAGGGTATCATGGTCAAACACCGTTACCAGGAGGCAGGCTCCAGGAATGTCACATTGCTCCGGGGCCACCAGGCTGAAGAAACATAAAATACGTCTGTTCACATTGTACAGCCAATGCAAAGATTTCTTTTTAGGGTTTTTTAGGGTCCATTACAAAACGGGTTTTAGAATGACTCACAAGTCGAATGTCTCATCATACAGAGGGTTCAGCTCGTTCTTGATAATCTGTGTGCAGCGCGGCTCCACTGCTGGAAATATATGCTTAGGCTCCAGCGTCAGCTGTACAAAGGGGTCACTGCTCCCTGTGTATACAAAGAGGTGATCCAACAACATGAGTTTACTTTGTTTTCAAATCATGATATTTAAAGGGAATGGATTACGGTTTTCTACATCATTTTTTTTTAAATGTTTATAATGGTCAGGACTAAAATATTAAAGATTTTCAGTCACGTAAATATGAAATATTGCATATTGATATTATGTAGCCCTTTGTCCAGACAGCAGATGCAGCTTAAACCTGGCCATAGACTGCACAATTTGCAGCCAACTCCTGCTATGTTAGACAGAATTCGAGCTGAGGGGTGGTCTTGTCAGCTCGATTTTTCATTAGACTTTTGCCAACTGGAAAATTGTAGGCTGTCACTGTTCAGGTATACAACAGCCACGGGTCCCATCAACTGCTGAATACAATAGCCAGCAGGGGAGATTCCTTCATCCTCCCTGTTTGGTGTGGATGATGTAATCAGCTGATCACATGTTCTGCCCCGGTTGTATGGCCAGCTTTAAGGTGCCCACACACCTTGCGATAATCGTACGAGCGCGGGATTGCCCGCGATTATCGTACGATTATCGCAAGGTGTGTGGGCACCTTAAAGCTGTTCACACACCTTACAACCATCGCAAGCATTTTGTCTTGCGATGGTTGTAAGGTGTGTGAACAGCTTTAAGGTGCCCACACACCTTGCGATAATCGTACGAGCGCGGGATTGCCCGCGATTATCGTACGATTATCGCAAGGTGTGTGGGCACCTTAAAGCTGTTCACACACCTTACAACCATCGCAAGACAAAATTCTTGCGATGGTTGTAAGGTGTGTGAACAGCTTTAAGGTGCCCATACAGCTTACGACCAACGTCTTGCGATGGCCGTATGCTTCTTGAAAGCCCGTACGATCTGCCCAATTGTTGTCATTAGCCAGATTCCTTGTCAGCTGTGCTGAATGAAGACCACTGTTTAGAGACCTGAAATGAGTCATTAACGCAGTGACTAATCTCTCTAAAGGTGCCCACGCACCTTACAATTATCTGCAGATTTTCTGTGGTGCAAAAGTGCAACAGATTGGCCCAGGTGGAGATTCCTCCATCCACACAGTTTAATGTAGATGGAGTAATCTGTTGCACCTTTTCCATCTGACCATAGGAAATCTACAGATAAAGTGTAAGGTGTGTGGGCACCTATAGAGAGGCTCAGGCTGGCCATACATGGCTTGAATTTGGGCCCATTCCTTCTGCATCAGGTGATTTTCAAAATGATCTGATGCAGTTACAGTTTCAGGTATTTAATACAATAGCTGGCAGTGGAGATGCTTCCTCCCACACTGTTTAACATGGAATCTTTAGTCTTTTCCGATCTTCAGTCTCTGACCACTGCATTATAGACCCACCTTCAGGAGCAGGATTCTAGGTAATAATATTGATAAAAAATTGACAATCTTCCAAATAAATCCTTCACTACTGAGTGCTTTGTCCACCATCCTTCCCTTGTGTCCAGGAACTCATCAGACTTGGCACGACCCAGTATATACTGTATATATACACACAGGTCAGTATGCACCTAGTGAAAACACTTTGCTCCCTCTCTTGAGGTGATTACTATCTTCCCTCCATAGACACAGCAACCCTGGCAGTATTCTCCAAAATCCATCACATGAAAACAACAGGAAAAAATACTCGCAAGGTAAAAAAAGTTTATGCAATCAAAATACTAACAACAAGTTCACTTGCATGATTTTGTGCTGCAATCGGCACATCCACATCAACTGAAAATCAAACAATCATCCATAAAAAGGTCCGTCTGTTCTTGTGGAAGTGGTGTCAGCAGGCTCCACCCGACATGTTTTAAGGTGCCCATACACTGCACGATTATAGTACGAATAAAACCCCTCGATGATCGGAATATCGTACGATCATCGTGGGACGCACCCAACTTGTCTCAATAGCGGTCGATCCGATAATCGTACGTCCGCACTAATAATCGTACGATTTCGATCGACCGACGGAAGTAATCGTTTGAACCCGAGCAGTGGGCATCATCTTTCGTACTATGCCCTTTAAAGGGCAAAAACCAAGTGCATTCTCTCCCACACTTGTTGAAAGCAAACGATGGCTGAGGATATGAGTAGCATGGCTATTGTGATGGTTGGTGTTGCTGTCATTCATGCTCGCCAGCAACGCAGGTCATCGCAGAAACGTGACATTTATTCGCACGTTGCTTTGCTGCATGTGGGTACCAGAACAGAGGTGTGGATGCTGCGAGTACAGCCAGCTGCCGTCATTCTACTTCCGATTGCTCGATCGTTTAACGCATGCGCTGAACGAACAGTGCGATCCTTGACGAACGATTACTCTACTCATTGAACGATTATCGTACGGTTACGCACAGGTTTTTGAACATGCTAGGTAGTCAAACGTTGTACGATTGTACAGTATCCGCGGTTGCACGCTACCCAGACACTGCACGATTATCGTACGAAAAACCGATCGCATACGATTATCGTACGATAATCGTGCAGTGTATGGGCACCTTTACATTACGCACGCTTAGTTATAGGTCCTTCACACAGTGATCCCTGAAATTCTGCCTGTGACTATGGGGGCGGGGGGGGCTACGACAAAGGCTGTCCCTTCCCCTGTGTGTCCCCCTGGAGACTTTAGGTTTTGTTTCTTGCTAATTATCAGCAATTCTGGAATCCCTGGGACAATCCCAACATTTGCAGTTACGTTTTCAGCTGCTGTGGCTCCCAGGATATTTCCTTGGACACGGGAGCGTCGAGGTCAGACTGTAAATGTTGGGATTGTCCTGGAGATCCCGGGACCGTGGTTAAGAGTGCAGATGCCCCCTACCCATGCAAGTTTGCTGGAGAGGAGTTTGTAGACGTTTTTCCATCCCTTATTCTAGCCATGTCCTCAGGTGACATATAGTGGATGATGATACATTGTATGGTGTGCACTGTACCCAAACCACACACACACATGGAGATTTATAGCAGATAGCTCACCCGTCCTGGTCCTGACCATGCCCCCACAGTGGGCTGCTATTCTGGTAGTTCTACTACTGAGTACAAGTCATCTACCCCAGAAAACATTCTCTTACCATTGGAATCCAGAGGAAGCAGGTTCACTGCATTTAGAATCTCCACTCGTAGTTTTTGCTCTGATTGCCGATAACTGGCCTTTACTGTGACCGCACCATACTTCTCAGAGGACACTCCCTGTTGCTGTTTAAAAAATGCAGTGAATATTACCATCCAACCAATACAATCTGATTTGTGTAACTTTTACTCTGACCACCCCGACTAAAAATTATATATTTCAGTAAATTTTCTGAAACATTTGCAGTCAAATATAGCCCATAAAATGTGATCACTAGAAGGTTATCGGTAAGGTTTATTGCATAAACTAGGGCTGAGGGTATGTTAACAGGGCCGGATTTACTCTCTCTGCTGCCCCAATGCCAGGTTCCTCAATGCACCCCCCTGTATGCAGGCTGCATACAAGTGATCTCGGCGAAATCGTCAAGATCACTTGTACAAAACAAGTGGCGGCTTCGCTGCTGTACATTTAGCCTTGCTTGCTCAAAGCAGGGCTAAATATAGAGAACAACTACCCGGCCGGCACCCGAAACTGCATGTCCCGGGCATCAGGAGATAGGAATTCCACAGCCCTGCTGCCCCTCTACTCCCTGTTGCCCCAAGGCCTGGCCTCGGTTGGCCTTGTCGGAGATCCAGCCTTGTATGTTAAACTGGGTGTTTATATTTCATCACACACCAACATACATAAAATAGAAAGAAGACCCAGTGCATTCTTTTAAACCAGTATAGCCAGGTTATGGTTAGGTGGGCTAAAAAGAACCAAAAAGCTTTCCACTGAACCAGTGTGAAGGACAGTAATGTCTTTTTAGAACAGAAGGCACCTGCATGTCTAATTCCATCACAAATGACAAATATACATTTTTTTTTACATTTTAGGATAGCAGGTAAGCCATTCCTATCTTGCCCCTGGGCCAATGGTACACCCCAAACTGCTAGTTTACAGCATGCTTGCTTGCCATCATCTGTGCCATGCACGGAAACCATGGCTTCTATGAAGTGGGCCTTGGTGACCAATGGAATATTATAACTTATTGTGAAGTGGCCTAAAAAGCCTTCCACGAAAATAGTGTCAAGCACAATAAAGCCTTCTTAAAACAGAATGAGGGGAATTCATAAACAGTGCCCACAACAAATAGATTCATGTACCTGTTGTTGAAACGGCACTAAACTCAGAGTGTCCATACTGAGCAGCTCAGTAACGCTGAGCGTAATAAAATCACAGGCTCAGCATTACTGAGCTCTCTGCCCGGCCACTGCACCTGTCACAAAAATAGGCGCAGCACCCGATGACTTTTATAGTGGTTGAACGGAACCTGATAGGGATGCTGAGGTACTAAACTTATAAACCATGATTACCATCATTGTATAAAACAGTATAAGTCACTAGATGCCAGTATAGAGGAAACTCAACATCTTTTTATGCATATAAAAAGTAGGTGACTGAGATTATTTATCCTTCTATATATCTTTCTATAAAATGAGCATATTATTGTTTAACAAAATATATTGATTAAATTTTTTCATTTACATATAACAATTTCACTACATGACTATATACTTCAATATTTCTCTTTGTTTTTATACTTATTTTTTATATTCAGTGATTCTGTTTTTGCAACATATTTCCAAGGAAGTGACCAGTGGCTACAAAACGTGTTTTAGGTGAACAATGAATAATAAATACATTCTACTAAAATAACAAGAGTTATGAGACTTTTTTTCAGGGACACATGACCAACACACAATGAGCGCCTCTGTAACACATTGTCATCCTCGTATTTTTTCACCGACCTCCTACCTGGGGATGTTGGATTGGACTCCTGCAAAAATGCATAATCATGCAGAAGCACTAGTGAGACCATAGGCTTAAGCGCACCTTTGTGAGTGGACTGAGTCCTTGAAATCTCTTGGTATGATGATGATACTTACAATATATATACTGTATGTTACTTGCATAACTGTGTCTGTACTTAGACACTGTTGACAGCGAGTTACCTGCTGCTTGATCTTCTGCTGGTAATACCTTTCAATTAGTTTTCGAGTACTGCAGGAACAAAGATCAAGGTCCTGTCCCAGGGTCTGTGAAATGGTATACAAATGGAACAAATTGTTGATTAAATGCGCTTGAAATTTTAGCCAAAGGGTCAGTTTGATCTTATTCATAAGAGATCGCAGCTATCTTTGTAATTTAAGATTAGAAGGTGGCTTGATATGACATTAAAGCATACATTTAGGGTAAGTGACAAATATGTGTTACATAAGACAGGTGGCAATATATCCTGGAAATCTGTGGTGAATGAAGTACCAAAAACAAGGAAATGACTAATACTTAGGACCCATTCACACCAGCACCAGCAGCTTCACTACAATGCACGGCTGCTGGTGTGCTTTGCTAGGCACAGTGCTGATGTGCCAGTCACAACGCAACACAATGGTTACCTTTTTTTTGTTAGAACTTGTGACACCAGTGACATTAAAATAACTTCTATGGGTACAGTGGGGTGCGTTCAGATTGTATCATGTTGCACGCCACTGTGCTGAGAAAAAGTTCTACATGCGGTACTTTGTTTCCATGCACACCACCACATTGCAGTGGTGTGATATCAGCTCATTTGAAAGGAGGAAAATTGGCTTCTCTAATGTTAGGGTTGCACTTAAAAAAGCGGCCAGCGCAGCCCCAATGCATCTGGTGTGAATCAGCCCTAAATGTTTAAAGCATATGTGAAAAAAGATGAGAGCAAACGATACAACATCTGTATTATAATTCGACAATGCTCAATAGAAGTGGAAGGAACTCTCATTCCATTGTCAGTTGGCGGGTAACCAATTTGTTTAATCACCAAATGACAAGGAAAGAAAGTTCCCTTGACCCTAATTGGATATTGATTGATAGGCAATAATTCTTACCAGCCATTACCTAACCAAAAGAGCGCTAGCTTTAACATGGAAGTAAGGGAACTGTATGCAGGGCATCGGTACGTTATTTAGTCCCACAGGCTGCTGTTCTATTGACTGATACATTATAATCACAGTTACCTAATGGCTTCTTCTATGTCTTGGGATGTCGAGCAGTCAAAGCTTTGCTTGCCAGCTTGGAGTTGTGGGTGTTCCCACCCACCTTGGGGTGGTGCCTCTAGTCAGTGGCCATTACAAGACCTGACCATGGACTTTTCAATGCTGGGGAAATAGCTTAGGAGAAGCACTGATTAGCTCCAAGTTCAGGAAGTGGAAGAGGCCTCAATATTATGAGCTGGAATCAAGACTTTCATAGCAACAATATGTTGAAAAGAACGGATAGGGGAGAGAGCAGAGTAACAGAGAAATTAGTTTATCAGTCTACCGCTTCAACTTTGAGAGTCCAGTCACAGGCTAGGGGAGGGACAAAACCTGTGTGATTTAACTGCAGAGGGGAAAAAAATGAGAAAAAAAAACGACAAGGCTGTACTGTATGGCAGAGCTGTAAACAAATAAACAAATTGGTTCAAATTGATTCCTACTCTAACAAAACAAAAAATTGCCTAGAGGTCCACATAAAAGAGGATTGGTGGCTATGATAACAAATGTTAAATAAAATCAAGTGTTACCTATACAGTATATAAGATGTTATCAGTGTAGTTCAGTTGGCATATTTCTTATACGAACAAGGAAAATACATCAGCTATGTAATAAAGTGACCTTGCTGTACTTACAATGAAAGTGGCTGTGTGAAGGCTCTCCAAGGACAGTCCACAACCTCCCGCATGGAAACATGATTCTAAATTCTGAATAACACAAACCACAAGACACAAGCTTGCATGAATATACAGTGTAAACTCTTCACAGAACAGTCTCATAGGGAAGCAGTTTAGATACAAGCCTGCTGCTATAACTGAATGTTTAATGTGTATTTAAAGCCAAAACTTTAAGATATAATATAAGTTAAATAATATAATTGTTAAACACATTGTTAGGTTTTTATTGTTGTCTGGATCCTGCAAAAGATTATCTTCTTCTGTATTTGTCCTGGTGAATGTTGTCTCTGGTACAGAAAGTGATGGGAAAAGCTAACATTTTAGAGCTGTAACAGGAACAGGAGGTGAGGGGAAATTATCCACTGGGGACACCTGTTCAGGGATTTCCCATGTTTTCCAGATATTTCCTCTTACTTCCTGATGTGCCTTCAGGGAAAAAAACTGTTCTCATGCCTGGGCCTACTAAAAACTATTTTTACCAATGGTATAAAAGCCATTCACCATTCATAGCACTTTGCCCTTCCCTCCCTCCCCTCTATTACACTATTTTCATGAACTGTAAATTAATTTAGCTCCTTCACCCACCCACTCCTTTCTTTCTCCTTAGCCACCTGAAGCCTCCTGGGATATTCACGTCACACATCCCAGAAGGCTGCAAATCAGAAAGTGCCAAAGTATCACAAGATTTTGCATTTGCATATCTGGCATCAATACGGGTGCAAGATCTTGCAACAACAACCCGCATCCTCCTGTGATGTGTGACGTGCATATCTCAGGAGGGTGCTGAAGGCACATCATTTTGCCTAGGCAAGAAGTGAGGAAGTGGGAAGGTAAAGGGGCAAAATTAAACTATATACAGGTCATTCATTTTTTTAGCTATTGCTTAATAGAGAGGGGGAGGGAATGGTCAGAAGTGCAGCACATGGTGAAAGGTCCACTTTAAGATCGGCCTGTCCAAGTAAAACAGCTTATCCAGAATGTTACTGTACAATTACCATTGAGCTGTAAGTTGTTGGAAGCTAGTTGCAGGCCACTATGTAACATTTGAAACAATATATCACAGGTGGTATTGTTATAGCGGGGATGTACTTTGGAACATTTTGCTATTGTTTTCACAAGATATATTTATTATTAATACCCTCAGGGAACATTGTGTGTCCAGGTACAGTTGCCATTTTTGGCACTTACAATTGTATTGTGGAATTTCCTCCTTTCTGCTATTAAGCAAAGAAAATAGCCGTATGGAAAATAAATTGTGTAGTCCAAAGAATCTGCTGCCTGTTACTGTGTTTACTTCAATACTGTTTCTACCTTATAACATGTCAAATGAAGAATAAAGGAATGGTTACTTGTTTTGACACTAAAATCATAAGCGGAGCCCAGTTTTTTTAGAATATAGATTGCTGAAATACTGCAGTATTAAAGTGTATGTTAAGACACATTTCTCCATGCTGTGTCCCTTTAAAGACAGTGCATGTAGAGAAGGAAATACACTAAGCTCCTAATTCCTGTTGCTGACTGATAACACACAGCATTCTTGTGGCTCGAGTGGTGTCAGCCGCACCAACATCATACAGAGACAATTTGGGGAACCATAATTTTTCACAATTTCCCGGGCACACGCAATTTTGGAGTTTGACATGCTTGGTATTTTTTTTTACTTAGTACAACCTCCTCTTTTATGTGTTACAAAAATTGGGTAATATATTGTGTTTATGTGCAGTAAAAATTACTTAAGTGTATTTTTTACAAAAAATTTGAGTTTAACAGTTGCACTAATATCATAAAACATACAAAATTGCAGCTGTCACTGTTTTACTCTACAGAGTTTGTGCTTTCAGGAAATATATAATTCTGGGGGGTTTTTCTTCTTATGATAAAATCCTTTTCTCGGAGTCCATTGAGGGACAAAGCTCTGAAGAATTCTAAAATGTAGGGTTATGCTGCTGCATCCAGAAGAAATAGACATGAGACAAAAAAAAATTAAAAGCCTGCCACTTTAAGGACATAACCCCTCCCAACTCAAGCCTGCCAGATGTAGCAAGCAGTATGAAATTAAATGAGAGGATGGAGTTATGTCCCTCAATGGACTTCGAGAAAAAGATTTTACGGTAAGAGGATAAGAAAAAAATTCTATTTACTCTATCATTCATTGAGGGACACAACCCTGAACAATCCTGAGACATAGAGATGTTCCAAAGCAGTACAAAACCGACGGGCATGCATCATACAAACCAGAAGAACCGACTCAAATACTCAAACAGCCGCCTGAAGAACTTTTCAGCCAAAACTATCACAAGAGGCAAAAACCTCAAAAGTGTGAACAGAAGAGCAAATTGCGGCCTTGCAATTTGAGTAACAGAAGCTTAATTTTACAAATAATTACTAACTTACTACTTATTATTTATTAGTAAAAGAATTACTTACCCAAGAAGTACTAACTGCCACCTGAGAAATCCACTTAGAAATAGTGGCTTCCATGTACGTTGATAAATCTTACAAGTAGTAGATCTACAAGCCTTAACCCCTTAGTGACTGAGGCCTTTTTTTGTGTACATGTTATAATCCACATTTTAGGCCTGAAAATTACTTAAAACCCCCAAACATTATATATTTTCTGGAAGCCAAGACCCTATAGAACAAAATGATGGCAGTTGCAAAGTTTTATAGTGCACGATATTAGCGCAACTCCTTATCAGACCCCAAAATGTCATGATAAATGCACTTAAATGCGCCAAAACACAATTACAATTTTTAAAATAAAATATAAAAGATGAGATTACAACGAGTAAATGGATACCTAACATGCCCAGGTTAAAAATTGTGTGCGTCCGTGAAACTGCAACAAAATTCAGTACACCAAAAAATCCATAGACGACGCTTTAACAGCCCCCAGAGGTCATCAGTTTAGAGATACGTGTAAATTTGGGCGCTAGAATTATTGCTCTCACTACGGTGTGCGCGGCGATACACAACATGTGTAACACGATCATGTTTTAATACGTAGGCGCACCCGAAGCGTGTTTATGTGAAGAGACATGTGCTCGCGGGGGCTTTTAAACATTTTTAAAATGATTTTTACATTTATTTTATTTAATATTAATTTTAAAAATTTTTGTTTTTTTTGTTTGTTTTTTAAACATTACTTTAATTGCTATCACATAGGGGGGATTACAAGCCCCCCATGTGATAGCATATTGGCAGTGACAGGTACTTTTTAAGGTTATACTGGGGGTCCAAAAGACCCCTAGTATTACTTTTATACTTGAAATAAGCTACTAAAGTGCAGATCGCACTTCAATAGCTTATTGCTGGGCTTTAGGAGCCCAGCACTGACAGCTCTGTGACCGGAAGTGATGCAATACGCCTCGCTCCCAGTCCCATAGTATGGGGAGGAAATCGGTGATGCCGCCGGGAGGCTGTTTAAACGGGCCCGATGCCAGTGACGTACTATGGACGTCACTGGTCATTAATAGTCAGGACAACAGAATCTGAAATTCTTTTGTCTTTAAATACCTGGGTTTTAACAGCCAGTGCAGTAAAACCAGTGACTGAGAAGAAGGGCATAAGATTGGGCCCTGACATAACAGAAATCTATGAATCTATGTGTTATGTTGTTTAATCAAGGAAGGAAAGAGTGAGCACTTAGATAAGTGTCATCAATGTCTGGCTGCTGTATAACTTTCATGAGCGCTGCTGCTCCTTACTTAATGAAAACTTGTCATCAGAATTCAGGAAGGAGAAGGGAAATAAACAGTAACAGTTTTTCCCAGTAAGCCTGAGTAGAAATAAAGAGGAGCGCTCCCCCACGTGGCCAACGTGTGAAATACAGAACGTATAACAAGCACAGACCACCAAAGCAACACCTCAGAGGCCTTGAAATGTACAGGCCACTTGTGACTGGAAGAACCAGAAACATCAGTGACACCAATCTAAAGCACAAATGTCACAAGTTTCTAATTTGATAAAATCAGTAATAAGACACAGAGTAAGAAAGGAACACAGTTCCCTTCTAATGACAGTCTACCTCAGACAGATTCAGACACAATAATACTCATGGCTCCGACCAGTGTGAGTTAAAAATATGAGGTACCGCAACCACCTGCTGCAGACAGCAGAATAATCGAAGAATGGCTGTTCTGATGTACAGAATAAAGCACCTTTATAGATGGAAAAGGTATTTGGTGAGATCAGCTATCTGATAAGGATTATCTGCAGTGATTATATCTGCTTATACAGACCAGGCATAGAGGTCTCAGCAAGGGATAAATCGCTAATACAACAATCAGAGTCAGAATAATAAATACTGAGACCAGAAACGACCTGTTTCATGACAGCTAGAGAAACTTCCAGGATTTAACCTGTCCGGCATCAATCTCTTATTTTTATCAGCTAGCTAGAGAGTCTTCCAGACTTTAATAATATCTGGTATTAAACCAACTAGTAGCTCTTGGTAGTAGCATCTTCAACAAAGAAACAAAGTAAACTAAAATATTAAACCAGAAGAGAAGGAGACATCCATCTTTTTTGTCTAGTGTCCTTTTCTCCTGGAGGCAGCAGCATACCCAACGTCTCAGAATTCTTCAGAGCTGTGTTCCCTCAATGGACGATAGAGAAAGTGTATTTTAACATGTGTGCAAAAACGATATTGGCAGCGAAAGGGTTAAGGATGCATATTCTCTACCAACCAAGGCTCTGGTTTAATTCATTGAAAGCTGAAAAGAAGCATGCTGTTTGTATTACACGTGTTGGAGTATATGGAGTGTATCTAAAGCCAAAGTTTGTTTTTTTTTGTTCTGCATAAAGTAGGCAAGAACTGGTACCCCTGTCAAGGTTTTTTTGCTGTTTGTGTCCCAAGTAAAGGAGATTCACTTTATTTGTCCTGGTGACCACTATCACTGGGACTGAAAGTGATGGGAAATCTAAAAGCTGAATTGTCACCAGAACAGGTACAACAGGGGAAACTTCCAGTGGGGCATATGCTAACAAACATCTAAGAAAAGATTTCCCTTTACATTGGAGAGATTTACTATTATTCCATGTTGTATCTACAGGACAGATAATCAAGGTAAATCTCCCCAAAAAATAATAGTGATAAATCTGACAAGGATTTTAACCATTTCCTAATCTTAAATGAAAAGGTTTAAATATAGTTGATGTATATTGCTGTATAAGGCTGGTTTTGGCTTCCTATACCAAGTGCTGAACATTAGCCATAGTATCTCTAGTAACTGCTATGGTGCTTGGAGGCCACCGTACTCTTTTCAGTCCAGTTTGTTGTCATACTGGTCATGTTGGGAATTGGAGCAACTGGCAGTCACTGATTCATTTTCTCATGAAAAACAAATATAGAATAGTTAGTGTGCTTTGTTGTCTGTCTTGTCTTTGATAAGGGTGAAGCTATGATTATAATACAAGAAAATTGTATTTCATACTTACCTCAATTTTCCTTTCCTGACGGCTCCATGTCGGCATACGAGTGGGTATAGGCTTCGCCCCCCCATCTGATAGGACTAATAGCTCATAAATTTGAGCCTCCCCCCAGCCAATATGTTACATAACTAGCAACTTCGACTGGGCGGGAACTATGCCGACATGGAGCCGTCAGGAAAGGAAAATTGCGGTAAGTATGAAATACAATTTACCTGTTTCCCTGACTGCTCCATGTCGGCATACGAGTGGGAAATAACTCGCAAACACACAAGGGCGGGAATGCTAGTAGTTTAATTGCAAACAGAAGAAGAGGCAACAACCCTACGGCCAAACTCGACCGTCGTCAAGGCCGCCGGCTCAACATAGTAGTGCCGCATAAAGGTATGCACCAAGGACCATGTAGCTGCCTTGCAGACCACCTCTGGCGAGACACCGCTCATAGCTGCCCAGGAAGTTGAAATACTTCTGGTCGAATGCGCTGTCGTATGCCCTGGAACCGCCAACCCCATAGCTCCATACGCTAGGGTAATCACTTTCACCATCCAGGTGGAGATAGTCCTACTGGAGGCTCGCAAGCCCTTCCTGGGCCCAGCAGGAAAGACATATTGGCTGGGAGGAGGCTCAAATTTATGAGCTATTAGCCCTATCAGATGGGGGGGGGGCAGAGCCTATACCCACTCGTATGCCGACATGGAGCAGTCAGCTAACTGTACACTGATGAAATAGGCACACTTGTCAGATGTGTTAAAAAACTTAGAAGGTCACCTTGAGTGCAGCATGCAGTCGTTGATAATACCGTGGAGAGGCTGTGATTTGTGCAGATAGGTTGGAGATGACTGTGAGGATATGAGACCAAAGTAAAGCGAGGAGGCTGTAAGAATAACAACAGATAAGCAAAAGTTTATTACTAATACTCATAATTATTATTTTAATAAAAATTTAAATAATCTAATGCTTTTCATGATTGGTCAGATATTGTCTCCAACACAATAAAATATAATATTTAAACGGTTGATTCACCTTTCTAGAAGAAATCACCGATACTGCCCCTAAACATCAGATCTTAAAAATAAGCACTAATGCTGTTTATATACCTTTTGCCTATTCTTGCAAGGAATCAAGCATTCCCCAAAAACTGAGCATTCGTCATTATGTTATGTATGATTTTTATTAGAACACTGGGGTTCAGGGTCAGAGACCCCTCTTATACCCCAGTGTATGTCTGACCCCTTTATTGGAATAAACTCACTTTGGAATTTATTTTGGGTTAGAGCTTAGCGAGCAAGATTCAGCAGTGTTCACGGTGCCCATAAGACATCAGCCTAAACAAGGCTAGAGGATGTATACTTCTGATATCAGATTAGGTCAGTTAAAATCAATTTGCACTTTCATTTTACTCCTCCACACTAATTAAGGTAAATGCAGCCAAAGCATAGTGAATGCATAACAAATGCATCACAAACTAATCTCATACACCTGTGTACACTGGTCCTGAAAGAGACTTCTGCTGCACCACAATCTTTGCAATGATCCATTTCCCCCCCCCCTACTCTACTTCATTGTTACTAATGATGGTCTATGGTTTCATCACTGGCAAGTTTAGGTGGTAGGGAACTAGAATAGGGTTGTTTAGCTTGAAGGTTATGGTGACAGAATACACAATATACACCTTACCAGTTAAAGTTTTCCTGGACAAGATTTTGGTTCATGTACTGTAACTCGGACTCTACAAACTTCATCATTGGGATGATGCACTATAGAGTGGGAAAACAAGCATTACAATAAAGACAATACATCACACATGACTACTTTACAATGAAAACTGCTGGCAAGCAAACTATAGATAACATAGAGACGTATTCAATACAAAGAGTCACACAAACTTTCTTGCAGCCAGATCTGTGAAAGATGGGTTCTCACTGGTTGCCATGGGTTACTATATCTTACTATTTTGTGGCTAATTACACAAAAATCGGATTTAATCTAATCTTTGCAATGAATAAGGAGAGGAATACTCACATCATTGGGGTCCCGGGAATCACTGGCTTTTGCTATTGAATGAAGATGTTTGGCAATGCCAGAATCTAGCTGTGGATGAGAGATATTAGAGGATGAGTTGAGACATATGAAACAAAATTGTTAACTTGTTGGACAGAGTATGGAAGGGATAGAAGTGAACCTCTGGAAGGTATTTAATGGCAGTCTTTGTCCCCATTGTGGAGATTTACTCTTATTTCCTGTCAGGACAGGAAGTGATGAGAATGGTCTCCATTGGGGACACAGACTACAACTCAACTTTCTGTGATGAAAATTAGATCTTTAGGTACCCAATATGAGGGACATTGAATATAAATATATACCAAAAATAATTGGTTAAGCCCAAAAGTTCTGTTTTTCACTACTATGTTACCTTTATAGTGGCTTTTCAACACATTTGATAATTAAGATGATGATAGGTTAGATGAAAGGTTTAGTGCAACATAACACTGTTGGAGTTAAATTAGATCTACAGCCAAGCCATGTCTTTTCTCATTTTGGATACATTGGGGGGGGGGTTATAAACT